TCCTGCAAATTTTCAATGGAAAAACACTCTTGACTCCAACAGAGGGAAAAAAAGCAAGATTCTCCTCCAAAAGCCTTACTTGTTCTAGGTTTGGATCTTTTTGCCCCAGCCCTGAAGGGAGTTCCTGCAGAGGACAGCCCAGGGTCAAGCTTGTGGTGCTGACACCCCCACACTCAGGGTCTCAGGTGGAAATACTCTGCCAGCATTAGAAACTTAAAACTGCCGGTGCAATGTGGTTTTGTGCGAATATGTGCTATTTGCCATGAGAAGGCCAATTCCAAACGCTGCCCCAGGGACTCTGGAGCCACAGAAAGTCCAGACCCTCACCCAGCAGCACCTGGCTTTGCTTCTTCCCTACCCAGGGTGTTGCTGCCTGGAGACTCCTGGAGCTGCGGGGGTAGCTGCGGGGTGGGATGGGTACAAAGGGGAGCCCTGGCTCCTCCATCCCACCACAGCCCTTGGCTGGGACCTCCCTCAGGTTCCCACACTCAGACGGGTTGTGGGAGCTCTCTGTCGCTCAGCCAGCACTTCCCCAGAGGAGTTATGTTTCTCCTCAGCACCAGCAACTTCCTCCTTCCTTTCACTCCCACCTTCTGTCACATTAAAAAAAATAATTTAAAAAATATTTCTTTAGAAAACAACAAACGAGTTTTATATTCCTATCATCTCAGCACTACTCATTTCCCCATCTTTCAGCTTCTTTCCTCTTGCTTCCTCCCTTTGCACTCCCTGAAGGCTGAAGCAGGAACATGCCACTCCCCTGGGTGGGATGACTTCCAGCACCCACCCCTGCTTCACAGTGGGTAGAGGGATGAACCTCTGTGGGGGAGAACATCCCCAAAGTGCCACTGAATCAAAGCGAGAGATGCAGTCCCTACTGATCAGCTAAAGCAGCTGATCTGAGCCATCTGTGTAACCCTCCCTGAGCACAGTGGGGTGAGAAACCAGCTTGGAGCAGGCAAAGGGAGGAACTTAAGTCATCTCAAGAGTTTCCACCAATGTGATCCATCATCTGGAGACACCAAAGCCCTGGGGGGCTTCCAAGCAGACACCCCATGGGAAGGCTTCCCAAGATGTGGGATCCCAGGGAAATTATAGAAGCAACACAACAGGGACACCAGCCCTGCACCCGCAGCACCTCAGAGGATGGAGCAGGAGGAGCAAGAGAGGGAGCCCTCCCAGAGGGCCAGGGAGGATAAGCAATGGGAGAGAGCAAAACAGGAACTGACTTGAGAGGAGAACACATCTCTATCAGCTGTAAACTCTGCTGAGACTCACAAACCTGGCGTCCCTCTCAAAGCAAGCCTAGCAAAGTCAGGCCGCGTGCAAAACACAAAGATCATCACTGCATCACCACCAGCCACAGCACCTGCCCGTAAACCACACACTGGAAAGGTAGGGCTGTATTCCCAGATAAAAACTGCTGTCTCAGCAGATAGGACTTCTTGTAATTATTAAGCACATCTAAACAAAGCTTCCCCTACTCCCTTCTACTCAAGTGGTTTCATTTTGCCAAGAAACCCACAATCAGCAGACCAAACACCAAAAAGCTACCAACAAGAGGCACTCACCTAGATGAGGATCAGGTCTCCTTTCCACCTTGCCAAGATGTGAAGGACTTTCATGTCACTTTGTCATGAAGGGGCAGGGGAGAAAGCAAAAGAAAGCAAAACAAGGCAAGAATCTGCCCTTGCAATTGCACATGCTACTACTGAGCAAGATGCAAGCTAGTTTTCCTCTCTTTCAGGCTTTTGTAGGAGTTAGTAACAATTATTCTAATTACAAAAAGCTGAGCCTCCCTCAGGAGCCAGTCCACCAATATGGCTCTTCTTCCTTGGGCTGCTGGGCATAGGTGGTTCCAAGGGTTCCCCATCACTACTCCACCCATAAATAAGAGGATTGTATCAAGTAAGAATAATAAAAAGATGAGATAGGAGGTTGGGGAAGGGAAATAAAAAAGGAGCTTCATTGTTTTTTCACACGTTGGAGTTACACAGATGGCTCACAGCATATGGGATTTCAATTTGGGCTTTTAATAAAAGAAAAACTACCAGCGTGTTTCTCTGCCAGACCGATCAAAACAATCTGGGGGTTTTGTATTCTGCACTCGATGCCCTTTTTCTTTTTCCTTTTTTTTTTTTTTGGCCTCACAATCCTGGATTTCACCAAGGTAATAACTGTGTGGGGAAGGAATATAAAGCCCTGATGGGGTGAACCAGTGCTGTCGGCATCGTGGCAGGGAGTGCTGAGCACATGGAAGCGGCTGAGCATCCAGCTCAGCTGTGCATGGCATCTGAGATGTGTGTGACAGCAACTGCTTGTCAAAGTACCGCCAAAAAATGATGACAGGCCAGGATCAGAGAGGAGAAATGTTTTGCCGTTCCATGCTAGTAACTATGAATAGTACTGATGCAGCCAAATCTGCCTCCTCTCCTTTCCAGTGCTCAGGTGGTCAACCTGTGCCATCAGGCAATTTGAGTCAAACAAAAAACCAAACAAGCATTGCCATTACTTGTCATATTTATATTTTTGATTTTATTTTTAATTTTTATTAAAAAAACCAACCATTATTAAAAATGAATCATTTACTGGAAGGCTTCAGCCAGGGAGAACTCTCATTTCAATCTCGTGAACAGAATGCAGCATAGTTAAAACCCACAGGCATAAACAAAACCCAATAAAAAAAAAAAAGGAGAGAACAGTTCAAACCATAGCTTATAATTATGTAGTTTCCTCAATGTGAACAGAGAGGCTTTTGTTAAAAGCCTTCAATTCAGAATTTCATGGAAGACTTTTAAAACACAGGGGAGAAGGAAACACATGCTTGTTTAAAGAAACAAAACAATAAAATAAAATAAACAAAAGATAAACAGGAAAAAACTGCTTGGGTAATAGTTAATAGATTCAACAAATTTACTTCCTCCAAAGAAATCACTGTTTACCCAGCCATACAGTTGGCCCCGGGTGAGAATTTACTCAGAAAGCTGAACATACACAATTCCTGACAAGTCATTCGGGCCAAAATTTCCCAATTCTGGCACTGATTTGGAGGGGTTTTCCAGTGAGACCATAGCTGGCTTCCCAGTTTGGGAGTCTGGAGTCTGCAGTGCCAGTAGGTACCACTGGGAGCCTGGAAAAGGGGCTTTAATTCAGCTCCTTTTGGTCTCCTCCAGTGAGACAGCACCAAGGGGAGCTCTAAGCACTTCTCCGAGCTCCTGAACCAAATGAAGCACCTGTCCTTGGATGTACGTATCAAGCCCAAGACTGGGTATCTTAAAAACTGCAAATAAGTAACTAGTTTTTTGAAAAAAACCACAAAACCTATACTCAATCTGGGAACGTTAAGGTCAAAACCAAATAAAAATGGTCTTAAAATATATACATATATATATGGCTTTTCATTTTTCCTATCCATTTCATTGGAAACAAAAATAAATTTAAGGGCGATATTTGGTTTTTAAAAACGATTCTGTCCTTCTCTGTAGCTGTCAGCCAGAGCGGATGGGGTGGAGGCGCTGACTGTGGCTGCTCATGACGCGGCTCAGAATCCACCCGAGTTCTTCATCCTCGCTAGTAACCGGGAGTAGACGGGTGCTGCCAAGGAGAAGACAGAGTTGGGTGGGATGGACACACAGGTCCCCTCTCCGCCCTTCCCGGTTATGCTATATCTTGCTTGAAGCAAGACAATGGATTAAACCTCTCTTTACAGGGCAGGGACATATGATAGGAATTAAAAAGAAGCTAGAAAAGTTGTTTTACCTAGCCGAGGATTCCTCTGAGAAACCTGCACGGAAAGAAAATATGAGGTTTGTGTCACTACAACGAATCTGCAATAACTCTAAGAATGGTTTGTATGTCAATATATTTAACTCCAAAAGCTATAGATGCATCAGTCTTCATTATTCAAAGTTGTTATATATATATAATCACACCAAGATGATATTTGCAGTGTGCTGCAAACTGAAGGCTTCACGTTGCAAAATGTATAATTTCGTATATAATTAAATCATGCAAGAAGAGAAGATTGGTCCTTCCACAAAACACATGCACTCGCTCTCTTTGGAAGTCAAAGTCTGAATGTGACATTATCTTCCAATCATTATTACTAAACTGTAATTTCAGGAGTTCTACAGTGTGAGAGCTTTTGCCTTTTACCTTGGATAACGCAGATGCCTGTTTGAAGATTTCTAACGCGGGATCTGCAGGTTCGTCACCTCTTTCTTGCGGCCTTGAAGCTAAAAGCAGGACACAGATAGCACTGAAAAACTTGTCAGAGCACACAGGCTGCTTTCCTACATTAATTTGTGTTGAAAAGTCCCATAACAGACTAATCCTCCTCAATAAACTGAAGCACTTGCCATGTGTCAGCCCTCCCTCCCAAAGCAGCTCTGCTGTAATGGTGTGGCTCTGGATAGTTCTAACCATGGACCTACCCTGCGGCTGTAAGACAGAGTTCACGGCATAAATCACACCATTCGTGGCCATGATATCGCTCTCAGCAACAGGCTCCTTGTTGATATGTATTATGTTGTTTTTCTGTTCAGGAAAAGAAAAAAGCAACAAAAAAAATAGAAGAAAATGAGAAACTTTTGTCATCGGCGGTTTCCAATTTTATTAAAAAAAATCCCTCCCTTTGCATTCATTCCTGTACTGGATGCCTGCAGGCGTTTTCATTAATTTTGCCAAGTAAGGAGAACATAAACCCAAATTCTAGCCTGAGCAGTTTCTCCTGCAGCATCTGGCAGGCTCTGGACTTTCTGGGTGCACGGGCTGGGAACGCTGTCCCGCGGCACCAGAGCACATCCACCAGCTCCTCAGTGGCAGCCAAGAGGGACGGCCGCAGAGGTGGCATCAGGAGAGAGCAGATCAGGACTGGGCATGGGAAGAGCCCAGCATGCAAGTTGGCCAACTCAATGCCCTTGGAAACACTGGCCTTTCCATTTTTGTCCTGCATTTTCTTCCATATGCGCAGAGTGGGTCTCGAGTTACTTAGTTTCTGAAATTACTTTTTTTCCCAATACATTTTCTTAATGTAGTGCAGAATTTGTGAAATGAAATTATACACCTAAATCAATCCTGCTGCATTAAGGGAGTCCATGCAGAGATCATTTTCATTACGATAAAAAAGATGTGTTAGCTGAACAAGCTATTCGTTTAATTTATTTATACTTTTTCCCCCATGACTCAGGATTAAATTTATAACAGCTCCTGGAGACCATTTACAATTGGTCTTCTGGGGAGAAAGTTGAAGAAAACCGCATTTCAAGACTGCCAGCTTGTTGAGTTGAACACATGGCAACGGTCCCTCCTCTACAGTCCAGAAAACATTGTTTGGTGGGGCTGTGCACATATTTAGAAGAGGTTCCCACACCATCCAGATGAAGCACGGACATTATTTGGTACTTGACATGGGCAACTAAACACAGATTGCAGCCCTGCGGACCACGAAACCCCATCTGAGGGGACTCACCATGCTGACTTCCAGTTTATCTCCCTGCATGGACTTGAGCCTCACAAGGGCACCGACTGCGCCGCTCACCAGGATCTCATCAGCCACGTGGAACTTGAGGATGTTAGCAAGCTCCTTGGCATTCCCTGGGGGAAGAAAACGTTTACATTTGCAAAAGAGCATCAGCGCTTGCTTCCCTGTATTTCACGCGCTGGAATGAAATGACGTGGAAAATACCAAGAAAGTGCAAGGAAACGATGTAGAATTGAAAAGATGAGGTAGAAGGACCTTGGTAGGAGCTGGTTAGGATGTTCAGGACATTCCTGACCTGGCAGGTCAGGATCCCAGCGAGTTCAGAAGGACTTTCTCAACATCCCACCTTGGTACATATCAAACCTGCCTCATACATGAAATCCTTATGTCTTGGTTTTTCAGTCTCTCTCACTGTGCACAGCACAAACCTGCTTCTGTTGCTGCTTTCACTTCCCAAGAAAGTCAGGGGGGAGGGGGATACAGAAAAAAAAAAAAAATCTATGTGAAATAAGGAAGCAGATAGAGAACTCTGGTATTTGCAAATGTCAATACTTTTGCCAGCGCCGGTGTCACTTGGCAATAATCTTCACGGCTGAAACTGCAGGATTCCTGGGCAGGAAGGGGAAAAGTGCAGGAGAAATGTCACTAATAGATGACAGATGGCTGGCCCGATCCCCACGCCACTGAGTCTCTGCTCATCTAGCCATGCTTTTAGCAGGATAAGATGCTTCCCCTTCACCATCTATTTTCCAGAAGAGGCAGCGACATGCACAGCACGGGCCAGCAGCCCTCCGCCTTCTTCTCCTTTAGAGGATGCAGTTCTGTCACTGACAGAAGCCACAGATGGGTGATGGGGAACAGCTTGTGCAAAAGATGGTCTCCATCTCCAAAACCAAAGCAGCTCCTTCAGGAAGGGAGACTTTTTATTTCAATGCTCGTATCTGAATGCACTGTGAGCTTTTCTTCCATTACAGTTTTTCTAGGGTGGCCACAGTTCACGCCGCACGTCCTCACCAGCGTGATTCACTTCTTCATCAGAGTGTAAGCTAAATATTTGTGCGAGGAAAGAAGAACATCTGAAGTGTCCACATCTGGGATACTTCATTCCTGCAGCCGTTTACAATAGCTGAAAAGCAGTTCTGAAATATTTATATATTAAGCCCTAGATTGGATGTGTAGTCTGGTATTACCAGTTCCTCATCCCTGCACTTAAAAGGATAACCAGCTACCACGGGCAGATGCTTCCCAAATTATGATGTCAATGTTTGGTTGGGCTTTAATGATGAGAAGACGTTACACTCAAATACCTGACATTGTTTCCAACCACAGCCAGTTTTCAACATGAACAAAATAAAAGATTGTGCTTCTTATCCAGAAGAGCGT